TCTCTCCTTTTATATCCATCATGTCGTCCCTAACCTTCGATGTATCCCCACACACATCACCATCTGGTTTCTTCCCCCAACCCTGCGCTGAAACTGCTCTGATAAATGCTGCCTTTTATGTGTCCTCCGAGAAGATATACTGAAGTCCTAACCACAGGTACTTCTGAATGTGACCATATTTGGAAACAGCACCTTTGCAGATGAATTGTTTAAGATGAGGTCATACTGGATTAGGGTTTGCCCTAAGTTCAACATGACTTATGTCCTTATAAAAAGAGAAGACAAAAAGACAGGGACACAGAGGGAGGATACCATGAGACTACAGACTAACAGACTGGAGTGATGCATCCACGAGCCAAGGAATGCCAAATATTGCTGACAACCATGAGAAGCTAGGAGGAAGCAGAGAATGGTTCTTCTCTAGAACCTTCAGAGAGAACACAGACCTGCAAACACCGTAATTTTGGACTCTGGTCTTCAGAAATGTGAGAAGAGACAATTAAGTTGTTCTAAGCCATCTAGTGTGTAGTAATCTGTTACAGCAGCCCTAGGCAGCTAATACAGTGCTGCTGACAGAATTTCTCAGAGTGACCAATTGTCCTGGCTTTTCCAGAACAGAAGCAACCAGGAAAGTGCCAGGAAAACCAGGACAAGTGTGTCACTCTTCCTTCTGGCACACACCTGCCTTGAACACTCTGCAGTATCTGACGCTCTGCTGGACACCGCCCTCTTGAAAATATCCCCTTTCTTGGTTCTCAGGAAGGCTTGCTCTCAACTAGTTAATTCCATCTGGTGGCTCACAGGAACTCAGCCTTTTCCATCTAAAATCACCACACCGCTCATATCTGCTTTCTCTTCTTGATTCTATATGGAATCAACAGCCAAGAATGTGGGGATTGCAGTCAGGGCTTTCTCCTTGCTCCTGCTCTGCATCTACTGAATCCTCAACCACACTCCTTTCCAATTTCCAGAATCCACCTCTTCCTTACATTTCTGCCTCCCTTCCCTTAATGCAGTTCCTCCTCCCGTTGGTCTCAATAGCAGCTTCAGAATGGGCTGTTCCTGACAGCATGTTGTCATCCTCCAGATAGAGGATAAACTTGTTTATATGCCTTCCAATGCCAGGCACCTCTGAATCCCCACTTGCCATGTGAGCCTCATGCCCTCTACCTCCTCCTCCATATCTTAAAATAAGATGTCCTGACTTCCTGTACGTGAGGCTTGCCAGGACCTGCAGTGTTTCCTCTCTCACTTCAGGGCTTATCACTTGCTCTTTTCCTCTCCATGGAAACTTCTCCTTTCACAAGTTTTGTAAACACCTTCTAACAATCACTTGGGATGCAACTCTGGCATGGCTTCATCCTAGAAACCTTCCTCAACCACCATCCTACAGCCCAGGATGTGGGCTGAGAGCCCCCTCTCCTAGGCTCTGCAGCACCCAACACAGGCAGGCACCTGTTAGGACCCTTCACAGAATGTTATGCAATGGCCCTTTTGGTTCCCATTGCTAGAAATAGTCTAAACCCTTTTAATAGGAACTGAGCATCTTCTTGATCTCCTCAATATCTAGCAGAGACCCTGTACACAACAGGTTTCTCCTAAATGTTCATTGAATGTTCACTCCGAATTAAAAACATGCAAATAAAAATACACTGAGATGCCATTTATGCATTGAGTTTTGTCCAAATCCCAAAGCCTGATGGTGTACTCTGCAGGAAAGGCGGCAGAGAAACAGGTATTCATATCCAGGGCAACTAGAATGCAAAGTGGCGCAACCTCTATGAAAGATAATTGAGCAACATTTCCAAAACCACATATACATTCACCCTTTGGCTCAGAAATCCCAATTCTAATAATCTCATTCAACGGTACACTTGCAAAAAATATTAAATAATGTTTACAGGAGGCACTACTCACTGAAACACTATCCATGGTCACAAATGACAGAAAATAACCTAAGCATCTCTCAATAAGGAGTTTTTGATTAGGTTAGGGCTCATCACATAGGGGAAGCTATGTAGCTACAAAAAAAAAAGAATGACATAAATCTCTACAGTCTTCTAGAGAGTAGGCTACAGCATATACCATTAGGTTAAAATAATGCTACACAGAGACAAGTCTATGTAATAGCCACCTTTCATCTAAGAAAAGATAATACAAATATATATATATCTGTGTGTGTGTGTGTGTGCTGCTTTGCTTCTTTTTTTTTTAATTATTTTTATTATTATACTTTAAGTTCTAGGGTACATGTGCATAACGTGCAGGTTTGTTACATATGTATACTTGTGCCATGATGTTGTGCTGCACCCATCAACTCGTCAGCACCCATCAACTCGTCATTTACATCAGGTATAACTCCCAATGCAATCCCTCCCCCCTCCCCCCTCCCCATGATAGGCCCCGGTGTGTGATGTTTCCCTTCCCATCGCTTTGCTTCTATTACAAAAGTAGCCTAACCCATAAAATATAGGTAAATAGCTAAATTCATAAAGAGCTCTAGAATAGGATCAAGAAAAGAGGAAGTGAAGTCAGATTCCTTTGAACACCTTTTGCTTCAATAATTTGACTTTGAAACACTGCATAAAAACTTAATGTCAATTTTAAGAATTTCTAAAAATCAATAGAAAAATTAAACAAATGATAGTAACTGGGTCTTGGGTTGGTGCCATAACCACACAGAAAGAAATTATTTCTACTGATTTTAAAGCAGTAATTTTGCTAGAATTTTCCAGTGAAATATTTACTGTGAGGACCAAAAAAAAAAAAAAAAACAGAGAGAAAACAGTCATTCTAAAGATTTTTCAATAATCAAAAACAACTAGGGTTGCATGGAGCTGTTATTCTAAAATGACTGAGTGTGTACTAAAGGAAAAAGGCAAATAAATAATTAGGTTGGTCTGCAGAGACTTGAGATTTTGTGCAAGGAAGAAATAAACACTGAGATGGGAAAGGTTAACAAAGACCCTAGAGTCCTGGAGATGAATTGTAAGTACCAGGAGAAGTTCATGGTATATTTTTAAAATGCTTTTCTTAGCACTGTCCACTGAGAAGACCCGTGGGCACGTTTGGTGCTCAAAGCATCCAGAAATGAGCGATTCCCAGATCTACGGAAAGAAATAGGTAAAAGGAATAGGAACATCTTGACACCCAGAGAGCAAAGAAGCTCTCAAAGATGACTTGGATGGAGTCAGAAGAATCCAGAAGCCACTCTCAAGAGGTTACCCTGGGCTTAAAATGCTACCATTTCACCGTGTACAAGGATGTAAGCTACATGGATTAAAATACATCAAATATGTAAAAATTCGTGTATTAATAATAATTCTAATAATCAAAATAAGAAAAAGGCAAACATAACATCTTATCCATCCCCTTTGGATGACAAATGAATGACCTCTGGGATATTAAAGAACCAACATACTTGTATATTTAAAAAAAATAAAAGTATAAATGGGTGAGGGGCGGGGACCATTTATTTTGCCTTTCCTGCATAAAGTGTACCTTCAGGATATTCAAATAGTTGATGAAGGAAATGCAGTTTATATAGAAGTATTCTAACCACTGAACAAGCAAGATAATAAAATGAGAAAATCCCAGTTGTGTGCCCATGGGTGAATCAGTAGATTGAGGCACTGATCATCAATGACTGATCATTTCCCAGCGGGATATGCTCTGCCTCCTGAAGGAGGAAGTACACAGCACTACCCATGATATAGTCAAGACAAAAACATCCAAACTTGGATCTCAGCAGGTGTCTTGAGATTACTAGGAATTTACAGACCTCTTTGGAAAGAGGAATATTTGAACCATACAATCAGAATGAGATGAGCAAACTCCAGACTGTGGGAAACTGTCCAGGACAAAGAACTTGGTTTCTGTAATTTGCAAAGGGTATGAAATAAAAGTAAAATATTAAAAGAGACTCAAGAAATATACCAACCAATGGCAGTGGGTGGAATTCACTTAAATCCTGATTTGACTTAACTGGTCAAAAGATGCCTAAGTATTTCTGAACCCATGAAAGATCTCTCAATGCCCACTGGGTGCTTGATGATGTCATGAAATCATTTATTGTTTGTTTGTTTGTTTGTTGTGATAATGGTACTGAATTTCTTATCTTTGAGCATTATAAACTGAAATCTGATGGATAAAATTATTTAATTTTTTTTTAATTTCCTCCAAAATAATTTAGTGGATGTGAGATGAAGCATGAGTGGAAATTGAGATGAAAAAGGATGGGGATGGGCCATGAATGCTCTTTAGACTATTCTTACTAATTCTATAGATATTTGAAAGTGTTTGATACAAGTTTTAAAAGCAACAAAATATAAAACCACTTGTTGCATGAATTACTGAAATACAATGTCTGATTCATCATATTTAGCCTGATAATATAATTCCTTGAGGACAGGGACAAAGTCTATTTTCTTTTCCACTCTGAATGCTTGAGTGCCCGGATGTGAAGGACCTTAAATAAATTTCAATGAATAAAAGAATAAATGAGTGGATATACAGATTAATTATGTAATCCCACCAATCCATAGAGATATGTGGGGCATTAAAACAATTCTGCTGCCATGCAATGCTAGATAGAAACAAAGGGGTAAGTTTGTGGCAAGACTAACGCATTGCAGGAAAATGTCATAGTGAAAAATTTTAGGCTTTCCTTAGTTTTGTTGTTATTTTTATGGTCACATTTTTATCCTTTGGTTCAAACACTTAGGAGGCCTGCAGTACCTGTTAAATAAAGGTGAAGAGAAACAATGAGATTTTTTACCTTGGTCATCCCTGTCTTAGATCCTTCTTAAGGTAGCGATCAGTTTCTGGATATGAAATTCTAATGATAGAGGTTTTTGTATTTTTACCTTTATTTAAAACTATGTCTAAAACCAGAATCACTGGATTATACAGCATTTGTGATGCTCTATTATCTTCTATCACTAAATACAGAATGTGCCTTTAGATGACGGCTTTGCATTCAGTGCTTGCTGCTCCCTTACCTTTATAGGAGATGACTGGGTGCTCAGCTCTCTGGCACTGAGTCGTACCCTGCGCCTCTGGGCGGGCGAGTCTCCATAGCCCCAGGCTTGAGAACAGCCATGCTATAACACAGGTTCCCTTCATGGTGGGCAAGGGGCCTCTGACTCTGGGCTCGTGTCTTCTAAACAGAAGCTCTTCTTCCCCTCATGTGTGGAAAGTGCCTAAAACACAGAAAAGAGAAGAATCAGATGACCGTGAGTTCATTTTCCGGTGGGTGGTCTTCTGGTAAAACTCCCTCACTAACATTAAGGTTACACTTTGTTGAGCTAGAGGAGAGCTTGGAGGGCTCAGACCAGCATATTTTGTCTACGTCATATCCCAGGCTGTATGAATACATGTGTGAGTGTGTGTATCTCAATACAGACCTCTCATTCTCCCAATAATTGCATGATATAGCCCATTTGTTTTAAACGAGAAATGCTCAAGCTTAAGCAGTACTGTCATCACACTCACTCCTAAGGAATGTAGATTAATAGATGGGATTGGCTGGATTTCCCTTGGCCACCTGTCCTAACCCTTTGCGCAAACACAGGTCTATATGTGGAAACCCTACAAATACCTGCCCATCCCTTTTTAACATTTAAAAGACTTATTTTTAAGAAGGCCATGGCCGTTGTCTTTTACCAATAAACTGATGAATATTATGCTACACAACTTTAAAAAATCATCACGATTTGCTAAATTCTGTATTTTGTGATGCAGGATAACCTTTTAAAATTGTAGATAATCTGCCTGCAAAATATCTGGCTAGAGATCAAGTGTGAATCAAATAAAATCTATATCGAGCACCTACTGGGTGAAATAAAAGTACTATGCCGGGAAACTTTAAAGATTATGAACAATTTAAATGATTAACAAGCATTAAAGTAATATAAGCCTGTAAAAATAACTATGATCCAAGCTGTCAGCACATCTTAAAAAGAACGGGAGTGCTGTGGGAGTCAAGGGAGAGTGCGATTGCTACAGAGAAGGATCTATGACGGGTCCATGGAGGGGCTCAAATCTGAGTGTAATGCTGGAGGATAAGGAGGATTTCAACAAATGGAGGTTTCTAGAATGACATTCCATCCCCAAGGAAGAGAATGAAAAGGCACAGTGGAGGGGCAAGAGGAAGAGGTATGCAACATGTTTTAGGAATGGTGTGCCATACTCGATCCAGGAAATTTAAAGGGAAGCATTGGGAAGAGCTTACAGAGTAGGTTAAGATTTAGAGGGCAAACTACACTAAGGTGTGAGGTCTTTATTTTTAGGCGACAAGCTACCATAGTATACTAATGTTAGAAGATCTTATTAATATTAATAAGGCTATTATCACAATAGTGTACCTAGGAAATTAGGCAGATGAGAGCATAGAAATGGAGAAGTCAATTTGAAGCCATTACAATTGTTAAGAAGAGAAATAAATGAAGCAGTGACTTTGGTGGTGTCAATGGGAATAAAAAGGCAAACACAGTACACGACGACTGTGGGTAAAGGAAACTATGGCAAATTAAAGATGGCCACAGATTCTGGCATTCCTCGCACTGAGAGGTGGAGCTATGTTCTCCACCTAGAATCTGGGTTGGTTCAGTGACTGCTCTGCTCATTTGAATACAACAGAAGTCATCTTGTGCTAGTTTCCAAGCCCAGGCCCTAAAAGCCTGGCAATTGCTACATCCTGCAGCTTAGAACACATTCTTTAAGACACTGAGACACTAGGTCAGAAGTCCAAATACACTGAGATGGCCATGCTAGAGAGAACACGTTTAGGTGCTCCAGTTTTTGGATTACACGTGAGCCCAACTCTCCAGCCATGAGTGAAGTTGAAACCCATTGAGTAATTTCAGTAGATACTATGAGAGCAAAAGAATCTCTCAGTTGAGCACTGCCCAAATTCCTGACCCCACAAATGCAAAATATAATAAAAGAGTGGTTGTTATAATCTGCTAAATTTTGGGAACACAGAGCAAAGAGACACCGATGGACTTAAGACAGATAATGTAAGTGACTTCAAGGATCGTGATGCGATTCATTTTAATAGGAAAATCAACAGAGGGATTTTGTTTAGATGATATTAGAATTGTGTGTGTGTGTGTGTGTGTGTGTGTGTGTGTGTGTGCGCGCACATTAAGTTTAAGACACTTGGCCGGGCATGGTGGCTCATGCCTGTAATCCCAGCACTTTGGGAGGCTGAGGCAGGTGGATCACCTGAGGTCAGGAGTTCGAGACCAGCCTGGGAAATATAATGAGATTTTGTCTATACAAAAAATAAAAATAAAAAGTGGCCAGGCGTAGTAGTGTGTGTCTGTAGTCTTAGCTACTTGGGTGGCTGAAGCAGGAGGATTGCATTAGCCCAGAAGCTCAAGGCTGCAGTGAGCTGAGAAGGTGCCACTGGACTCCTGCCTAGGCAACAGAGCAAGACTTTGTCTCTAAATAATAAAAATGGTAATTAATAAATACATATATAAAAGAGAGAGGAATTGGAAGAAAATCCAGAGAAAACTGGGGTGGGAAGCTATTAGGGTCCCAGTAAAGAAAGTGAAAGAAAGGAAAGAGGCCTTCTTTAAAAAGGAGTGCTTACTACCTGAACAAATGGTGAGATTTCAAGACAAAGAAAACATAGATTTGAGGGTGTATCAAATTTCACAGTCTGTATTTTTTGAGTCAACCAAATGGGGAGGAAGGATAAGACATGGTAATTTAAATTTTGAAATTGAAGAGTAGAAAAATTATGGGTTAATTTCATAGAGGTTGGTTCAATATAAATAAACCAGAAACCTGAAGGTCCAGCTGAGTTTAGAGTCTCTCATTCCCTCAATATTTACTGAGTGACAACTGCATACCCAGCATGTAAGAATCTGCAAAGGAACCAAGCAGCATGAGGTAAGGCCTACTGCATCCACAAGCAGCAACCATGGAGCTGATATAAGGAAGCCAAGTACAGACTCACCAGGACCAAGAACTTCAGAGCAGGCAGAAGGTTGGGGTCCTTAAGAATGGAAGGAATTGTACAACATTCCCATTGACCAAAACATTCAGGTTGGGCAGAGAAATAGGTAATGGGACTGCAAATCAACACAAGGGAAGAGTATAGTTTCTCTGTAGGAACAAGAGATGCTGAGCATGAAGGTAGAGGATGGGCTAGGGAGGAAAACGGAGAGCCAGAGGCTCATCTATCCACCAGCCCACAATCCCTGCCCAAGCACAGAGCACGGTAATGGACAATGGATGAGCAAATGTTCATTGACCCTGGGTTATAACATTAAAAGTATGAGATTCACTTTTGAAAAGGAGTTACAGTGTGCAACACTGGAGTACGCTTTAGAATTCCAGTCTAAAGGTAACCAGATGAAGTAGCCTATCTTTTCTGAGCCTCCTGACCTAAGACTTAAGATATGAAATACTATCAAATTATGTATTTTAAAATAAACACTTGTTAGAGGTGCTTTAGATGTGATTTCATCCTGTTAAAAGCAAGGAGGTTTGGGGCACCCATACCAGTTCAGGTAAACTATCACAGTCACACATCAAAACAGATCAGCAATGATGAAGATAAAAGGAGAAGGATGATGAAGTGGCAATCAACCCTTAATACATGCTAGCTCTGTAGTAAGCATGATGCCCAGCACTCACACCCATGCCTGGCACCCAACAGCCACCCAGAGCCATATCACTGATAAGTTCACTCTCACAGAGCAGCAAGCCATCATGGAAATGGATTGGAGCACTGTCCTGCCATTATCTCCAAGAATGAATGCAAATCAACTAGGGACTAAGAGCACATTCTTTTCTTATACACAGTTTTTCAACGTGCACATCTAAGCCAACATAGATTCCCCTTCTGCTACTGATGAAGGGCATCATCCAGACCTGCTTGTGACTGAAACTGTCCTTTATTTACAATATGCCGCCCACTCTGATCTTAAGACATGTGACGTTAGAAGCCCTAACATCTTTGCCTCCTGAATGAAAGGAAGAGAAAAATAACACAAGTGTCTGAAATGCTCTTTCCTTGGGATTTGGAAAGCGACAATTAGAGAAGAGGGGAAATGACACATACAGAGAACGAGCAGCTAAAATGGAACACGTAGTTCGAGGGTGATGAGCTGAAATGACATGTTTGTCATGTTAGGAAAGAACATTTAATGAGAACAGGTAATTTTTTGAGGTTTATAATTTTCAGACTGTAACATATTACCTTTTTTCTTAAACTAAAGGTACTGTAAACTATCATTATGGTAAGGTGACAGGAAAGGGCATTTATAGTCTTCATGTAGAGACGTGGGCTTTTTTGAGCAGCTTACCATGGAAAGCTAACTCCTTGAAGAGGCTTTTACTCTAAATAGACTCAGCTTTAAATAGCAGGTACCTCCTTCCTGGACTCAGCAGGTCCATCTTGTACTGAATCATGGAGCTCTTGCCTCTCAGTGGTGTAGGAGGAACACATTTATACCAGGGTTTTTAGTGCTCAAGCTCAGCACTATTGACATTTTAGTCATATAATTCTGTGTTCTGGGCTATTCCATGCCTTTAGCAGCATCCCTAGCCTGTACCCACTAGAGCCAGTAACACTTCCCTCCCATGGTCAACTTTGCACCAACCAAAATTGTCTCCAGACACTGCCAAATTGCCCCGGTTGAGAACCTCTACGATAGATAGATAGATAGATAGATAGATAGATAGATAGATAGATAGATAGATAGATAGGCAGATAGAGAGATACATACATACATACATATGCATACATCCACAGATAACTTCCCTCTTTGGAAGTTAAATGAGCTGCCATGACTTGAAAGATTATTCAAAATATGCTTATCTAAAACACCAAACTAAATTTGTGTTGAGTCATTCAGGCAAAATTTCAAAATATATGAAATTTCTGTTAATTTTAACTATGTGCTACATTTGGGAAACACATTATGAAGGAATTTTCAAAGGATCAAAGTTGTTCTAACATCATCCTACCAACTCTAGAAAAATAAAAATATATGACGTGAGTTAATATGAAACAAATGATTTTGCCAATATGAAGATTTATTCTAGAAAGCCAGTTTGGGCGACAACATATAAGCATTTTTGGTGCCTCTACTTCAAAACCCCTGAAACCCCTAAACTTCCTTTTATTTTCCTGATGTAGGAGGATATCTCTATAAGCTTCATCTAAATAAGTACAACTCTGTATAGAAGTGTTTGTGCAATAAATAACATTTCTCATTCACTCCCACGCTACAACTGAAACTGAATAGGCTTTGGGGACAGAAAATAACTGCTCCTTTTAGGAAAAAAAATTGCTGTCAGATAAAAAAGAAATCAAAGAAATAAAAGCTTCCATGAGGCATTTTGCTTAGGGA